AATGATGAGGTATTTTCTGGAAATAATGAGCTTGTATCTGGAAATAATGAGATAGTATCTGGCAATAATGAGATAGTATCTGGAAATAATGATTTAGTATTGGAAATAATGAGATAATATTTGGAAATAATGAGATAATATCTGGAAATAATGAGATAATATCTGGAAATAATGAGATAGTATCTGGAAATAATGAGATAGTATCTGGAAATAATGAGATAGTATCGGAAGTAATGAGATAGTATCTGGAAATAATGAGATAGTATCGGAAGTAATGAGATAGTATCTGGAAATAATGAGATAGTATCGGAAATAATGAGATAGTATGGAAATAATGATAGTATCGGAAATAATGAGATAGTATCTGGAAATTATGAGATAATATCTGGAAATAATGAGATAATATCTGGAAATAATGAGATAGTATCTGGAAATAATGAGTTAGTATCGGAAGTAATGAGATAGTATCTGGAAATAATGACATAGTATCGGAAATAATGAGATAGTATCTGGAAATTATGAGATAATATCTGGAAATAATGAGATAGTATCTGGAAATAATGAGATAGTATCTGGAAATAATGACATAGTATCTGGAAATACTGAGATAGTATCTGGAAATAATGAGATAATATCTGGAAATAATGAGATAGTATCTGGAAATAATGAGATAGTATCTGGCTATAATGAGATAGTATCTGGAAATAATGACATAGTATCTGGAAATAATGAGTTAGTATCTGGACATAATGAGATAGTAGCTGTCAATAATAAGATAGTATCTGGAAATACTGAGATAGTATCTGGAAATAATGAGATAATATCTGGAAATAATGAGATAGTATCTGGAAATAATGAGATAGTATCTGGAAATAATGAGATAGTATCTGGAATAATGAGATAGTATCTGGAAATAATGAGATAGTATCTGGAATAATGAGATAGTATCTGGAAATAATGACATAGTATCGGAAATAATGAGATAATATCTATCTCATTAGGCAGATACTATCTGCCTAATGAGATAGTATCTGGAAATAATGAGATAGTATCTGGAAATAACGAGTGAGTTTTTGAATATGATAAAGCCTCCAAAAAGGCCCCACTTTAGGGGGGCAGAATAATAATAAGCGCTTTGCTGCTTGGGCCTAATGATTTTACCACTGTAAAGGTGTGTGTGTGTGTTCTTCAATAAAAATTATATATCAGAATCAGCTGTATCAGATGTAATTATTGTGCCACCAAATAACTAAATAACCACATCAAAAAGTTTGAAACGTCCTTACTTTTTTTTTTTTTTTAATATATTTCTATATATAGTTGTGTGTGAGAGATTGTGTCAGTGACATTCATTAACTTAAAATACTTTGCAGAACGACACTTTACAAAGTTTGGTCCATCTACTTGTATTAGCTTGCTGGCAGATAAGCCACTTTCAATATGGCGGACGCGATAGTGTATCCTATAAACAGGCCGACCGCATTGTCGTCCAATCAGTGATTTCTCAGGTCTTCAACTGGGACATGCCCTTTCCGTTTTGCTAATGTTGTTGTGTTTTTGTAATTTGTATTTGTGCTTTCAATTCTCAGTTCCGATCATCCAGACTTTCTTGTAATGTTTAGATATTTAGAGGATTTTACTTTTTTTGCTGAAGTGGTTTGCATCTCAGGGATGCCGTAACGCTATGATCTCCCCTGCATGCCGTCAAAATGCTGCAGTAGCTAGTTCATCACATCATAAGTCAGGCAGTGTGGCAGAAGGCAATTGCCTAAAACATGCTCTATTCTTGAGGGCTGAAATTGAGAAACAAAAGCAAAAAGTAACAGGTCTGGCTTTCTGAAGACGTGTCTTCTTTTGGATCCTGTTTCTGATTATTTGGGACTAGAAAGTCATAAACATAGAAAGTCCCAAGTAATCAGTGATGTAGAAGGACATCTGTGATGGCGCAATGTTGTAGTAAAGCATTCTGATCCGGTCCGTGGGTTGATCGTTGTGCAACAGTAATTCTTTCACATTAGACTCAAGTTTCCATCTTCTCCACTGCAGTTTTACTAAATCATGACTCTTGCGAAAGAGCAAATGAAAAGAATAGAACAAAAAGCCAGAGGAAAACAGATGCCAGAACTTTTGAGTCGTGTGAGGATTCACTCCCCAGGGTTTATTGATTGGACTGAAATCTGAAGGAACTGGAGACTGTTTATTTTGTTTCATACAGTTTGTCCTTTTTGGAAGAGTAAAATATCCCAATGAAAGAAGCCAAAGCAATATGGTCTTGTATCTAGTACAACATCAAAACACTTTGGTTGTTTCAAAATGACTTATCCATGTATGGCTGGACCCGAGGTGTTCCAAAGTACCTTCGCTCAAAGCTTGGCATCATCTCCGTCGACTTGTAAATGGATAAGATAATAAGATTAAGTCTTTTCCCTCATCAGTTCCTGTCAGAGCAGGAATCTTGGATCTCCGACAAGACAAAAGATGGAATGCGTTCACAAAGTATTTATGAACATGACTGAGCAGAAAATGCCTCGCGGGGGGTGGAGACACACTCACATTTTAGATTTCATTTGCGCTCATGTCAAAAAGAGTAACACATTTCAAATGTTCAATACGTAAAGAGTCAGTGTTTTAAAACGTTGGCCCTCATTTTTCATAAACCCTGCAAATCTTTGCCATGCTAAAAATGAACTTCTGAACCCATTCATGTAAACAAAAGTTAAGTTGATTCAAAGCACATTAAGTACAAATACTTATAAGAGAACCTCACTTAAAATTTGATATGAAAAAATAGCTTAATCCTTAATATATCATTTAAATCTTTCAAGTGATAGGACGACACAAGTGGAGTGGAATAAATCTTTCACAAATAAAAAGCGACTTGAGCCACAGAAATTGTCTGACACAACTCCCAGGACCATTTCGAGTTTCCCCATCAGAGACTTGAAAGCTGACTGTAAAGACAGATGGATGCAAATAGAGTTTTCCCTCTGCATCCCGAAGGAACAGATAAAGCATCCTGAGCCGTGGATGTGCAGAGCAGCAACTTGAGAGGTACGCAAAATTAGAATGATAGATTCGTTCTGTAATTTGAACGGGACTTTTTCACAGATTTTGTTTGAAATTCCATCTGATCGACACACACAAGTATTTCTCTTTGTTGAAATACAACGAAGAGAAGTTGTGATGGAGTCAAATGTAAGATAAATCAACGCGCAGCGGCACACTAACTTGGAAACACGATGAAGTGCGATCAGAACAGCTGCAGTCGTGGATCAGTCTAAAGGTTTGTTCCTGTCTCTGGTGTTTTTATTTATTACACTGAAGATGTTACTGTTAGGTTCAATTGTACGTATTATTATCAAATATTTGTTGTTTCATGTACCTTTACAATGTTTTTTGCCTCATGCTTTTATTTGCTTTGTTTCATCTTAGCATTAAGAATGTTTCTGTGCTGGTGAATTACTCTGATTCCTTTCTCTGAAGGCCTCTCTGAAGAAGAGCAGCTTCCTGCAGGGCTATCGCTCAGCAGAAAGCTCTGCATCCTTGACCTGCTAGATAGCTATAGAAACATCACCGTGAAGATGCACAAGTTGCTCTGTTTAACCCTGTGTCTGGAACAGGATAATCTAGTGCAAGATACCTTGTGAAGGAGTTTCTTAAAGAGACAGAGGCCCAATTTCAAGACGTCAGTTTGTGAAGTCAAATTTTAGCATTTTCCTAACAATCGAAGGTAACATTGTTACGCAATATTTCTCTAAAATTTCACCATGTGCCTGGAAAATACATAAAACTGACAATAACAAAATTGGTGTTTTTTTTCACAAGTTAGAGTGATTTGTTTTTAAGGGCTTTAACCAATTCAAATCAGTTTTGTTACTTTAAAAGGAGAAGATTTGTTTGCAGTACGAGCAGTCTGACAGAAGAGCTCGGACACAGAGCAAATTAAACTCACTTCTCCAGCTTCTACTGGAGGCAGAGGCGTCAAGACCTTTTAGAATAGAATACAATAGAATAGAATTCAACTTTATTGTCATTGCACTGTCACATGTACAAAGCAACGAAATTTCCACAAACTAATAATTCCTTGAGTGCGGAATTTTGAGAAAAAAACGATTTCGGAATGAGAAAGAAACATGAAAAGGTGTAAAGAGTGGAGCACTATGAATGTCTTATTCATGAATAAGAGTGGAGCACTATGAATAAGAGTGCTCCACTCTGCATGCAGACTGGGAGTGCATTGAGCACTCCCAGTCTGCATGCAGAGTCATGTTAAAATACTTGAGTCGAAAACATGTTCTTCTGTTGTAAAAAACAACCAAAAAAAAAAAAAAAGGAAAGAAGAAACCCAATAAACCCAGACGCTGAACAGACAGACGATGACAACATGGTTTGTTTGTATTTTATCGATTCTTTATGCTTATAAGATCATTCCTTGTTACAAACAAAAAACAAACATTGATCACACAAATACTGTTGCGCTGGAAGCATGGTTGCTCTACTTTCTAATATAACCATTTCGAAACAACAAAACATCTTTAAAACATTGCACTGAAATTATAATCTGAAGTTGTTTTAATGCACATATGCACAGTTGATATGCTATACAATTTGTTCTCACAGCTGAGCTGTCACACAGTAGCTTCACTTTTTTTTTGCAAACCAGCTTGAGGCACATACCGAGTTAAACGTTGCGCTTGGAATCGAGAGTCGGCATTTCAGACATTCACATTCAGCAATGAAAACAGTTTAAATCTCCAATACAAATAAGAGCTGCAGAAACAGGCTGCCACTGTGCAGCATCCAGAAACCTTTATGTGTTTTGTGTTTCGATTTTTATTTGATCGACTGACACAAAAGCATTTTATTTTAATTTAATATTTCAAAAATAGGAACCTGGGATGTTTGCCGTTTATTTGACACAAACTGGTGAAACCAACTACCTTCAAAAGTTGTGTGATCGCAGAATATAATCCCAGCTTTACGTAGCTGCAACAACTGGGTTGTTGTTTCAAAATGCTAAGCTACAGTACAAAACGCTTCTGATTTTTAAAGAATAATAATAAAAACGTACACTTTATTGTAAATTACTTTAACAGTTGGTATACAGATGGAAACGATGAGTATTTTATTTTATTACCTTTACCGGCTGTCTTTACCAGGTCAGCCGGTAAAGACTGACCTGAAGAAACGTAAAGCTGAGATCCTATTGAAGGCTGGTGCTATGAAAACAATGATTCAAATGGTTAAACTTTGCAGTTTTAATTTGTAAAAAACCCCCAAAATAAACAACAACAAAAAGAACAGAAAAAAACCAACCACATTTCTGTTTTGTTTTTTTCACTTTACCGGTATAAATTCCTTTAGGTTGATCTATCACATTGAGTTCCCATAAAACAAAACAAAACACGTGGTTGTAGCTTTAAATAATAGTGCTAATAGTGCAATGTCTGATAACTAACCAAAACCTAATTAGTGCACGGTCACTGGTTGTCCAACTGAATTCAGTAAATCTGTTTTTAGTCCTACTGTTTCAAAAAGCTGCATGACTCAGACTGCAGCTGCGCCAACATGGAAAATTATGTTTCTTAATATGCAGAAAGCAATAAATAAGGTCACAAAATATATACACATAAGCTTTCTTTTCTTTTCCCTTTCTTCCTTGTTTTACATGTTTGACCACATCACAACCAACCATTTTAGTATTTTCATATTCTATATCCCCTGTGACAACGCAAGCGGAAGGGTTGCAAAGACACTTTGAGTTGACACACTTTTCACAAAATATGTAATAAAAAAATAAAACAACAACAATGGCAATAGCAATACAGTATAGCAGTATATAACTTTTCAAATAGATCATTTGAACCGTATACATAAAATACTTAATATACTGACTTTAAAGATAAAAAAAAGTATTTTTTTTAATAGCTTAACCTTATCTACTTTGGACACATTTACAAACTTCTTTTGCTGTATTTGACATCCACACTTTAAACCAGTAGTAAACACACTCATGACAAGTTGGCTAGAAAAGCATTGGCTCTTTCAAAAGGTTCAACGATACATCAATATTGTGGGAACAATGATGTCACAGTTTTGAGCTGTTTTAGAATTGTGGCACTGGAGGAAGTCAACAAAATCGTTCAGTCTGGGTCATCAGATAAGGCTTCTGCATGTTGGTGTGTAAGCTAAAGCCTGGTTTACATGGCACAATTTCAGTTTTTGCCCTGGTTTCTCTGACTGGGAGCGAGAACGCAGCCTGTCGAATGTGACAGGTAGCCAATCAGAAAACGTGGAGGGGAATCCCAAACAGTTGACGTGGCGGAACCGAGAGTCCAGTGGACATCAGAGATGATATGTGGAAACTATCATGTGCTTCATAAACATGGATGTTTATTAAAAAAATGTGAACTACGAAAAAACACAACTCACCTCCAAATCACAGTACAGCAAATAGAGCGGCTGTTCCTTTCATCCAACGCCTTTTCTTTTTGTTTCGTCTTTTATCACTACTACTGCTTCTACATCGTTATTGAGTTTGTTTATTCTAATTTCACGTATGGTATGTTGGGGCTTTTTCTGGATTTTCATCTGGAATCGGGGAGTTCGTGACTGGAATTGGTTCTTGTGGCGTGTTGCTCCTGGACAAACGAACCGATCGTGAAAACTTTAGTGAAAATTTTTACTCACGATAATGACTTGTTTCTCTGCAACAAGACAGTCCCATCTGGGGGACAATGACACCCACAATGTTGCTTTTGCACAGACCTACTTGGTCTGTGCAGTTTGAAGAATGAGCTTGGAATGGGGGAATCACCTACCGGTCCGGGATAAATCCATTCTCCTTCCTCTAAAACAAATGAATACTTTTCTGTGCTGATGTAAAAGATAAAAGCCCACTAAAATACTAAACGGTTTGTGGTAGTTTTGCAAAACAACATCGGGGAAAACGTTCCAACTGGTATGAATACTTTCACCGGGTACTGTACGGTGAATGCATTACAGTTCAGTGCACTCAAACATTATAAGCAGTTATTGGTTATTCTTCCTGTGACCATTTCAGTTCAAATAATTGAGCATCATGGGAGGTAGAGGAGCAGCATTCAGTCAATTGGAGTGACGTGACCTTTGCTGCTGGAGTTCAGCCTCCGATTGAAGACTCAGTGACCAACGCAGCTTCCTGCAACATCTTCTTTCATGTCTTGTTTTTCTTTTTTTGTTAGTTTGTTTGTGGTGGACAAAATGATTCAGAGGCTCATATCTTCATCCAGGAAAAGGGTTCCCTCCCAAAAGCGAGTGAAGAGTTTGACGAAATGAGGTCATGAGTTTGGTCCTCAATACACAGTTTCATTCGAGTAAGTTACGCTTTCCTCTGGGCTTTTTTCTGCCGCCGTTGCGTCTTCATTTAGGGAGATGCATTCAGTATTCTGCACAAGAAGATAAGAGAAAAAAACAGGAAGTGTCAGTATGTCAAAAGCGACAGGTTTATACACTTTCTCTATAGTCTGCCATGTAAAAACTTCAATAAGATGCAGCAAGCTTTGTTGATGAAATGTGTAACAGTTCAAATTAGATCAGCCACTGTGGATATATTTCACCAAAGTCCAAAAGAGAAAAAGTCTATGATGAACTTGAATCATTTTCATTGAAATTTGTTTTAATAACATTGTTTTTGTACATTAAATATCATCATAGATAAAACCGTGCTTTACTCCAACTCTGTTTAGATATGCTTGTTTTGGAAATATATCCCTCTCAGTTACATAATTTTGTACGCCAAAAAAATGTGCAGTTTGAAAGAAAAACAAGTACCGTAAGAGCCACAGTAGTTAACCATAATTTATTCCTGTGTGCATCAAGAAGTTTCAGTTCTTCATTCAATCCAATTTTGATGAAAGAAACTCCTTGTGACTCTGCAAGCCACAAGGAGTAAAAGCTCGGATTGCTACATAAAGCAGCTGTGTTGCAAGGGGAATGCGTTTCCTTTGCTCTGGGTGGTATTGCCATACATAGCAAATGTCTGGCCAAGCAGGCAGCCCCGTCTGCTGAGTGAACCTGACATCCCACCCATGTCAAAAAATCCAACCGATAGTCTGAGTGGTTAGTGGTCTCTTTGTGCAGGTTTGTGCAGCTTTGGTTTCTGAGATATTGAAAATAATTTTTTGGTCACGCCCCCGCTCCCCCATATGTTGCTCCAAAACAAACCAAAGTGGGCTACATAGTTAGTGCTTAAAGTTTAGTTTGGCTAAAACCAATTAAATCTTTCTGTACAGTAATATGTCTTTTACTCCTTAAAAAAGAAATATATATAACCATTTAACTCTCCGAGATATTCATTTTTAAATGAAGATAGGGAAATAATTCAAAGTATTTTTAGGGATTGTTAATTTTTGGGTCGCAGGCTGAAGCGTTTGGGAACTCCTGCATGAATGTGTGTTTTTGCTGGTGATCGGTGCTCAGGCTCACCATTGCCTTCTGCTTCACGTTGAGTCTCCGTTTCTGCTGGAAAGAGTTGAGCCACTGCATGATGTTAACCACGACGGACAGTAACAGCAACACCAGGACGAAGGCGGTTGGCCCTGGTTTCATGAATAGATGGGAGAGAGGTTATCACGCAAATCGACTCCGATCTGTATTTGTAGATGTAGCAACAGCAGCAACAAAAACACTTACATGTGATCGGTGGGTCTGGTGTTTGTGATGGCGAGTCTGAGGAGACAGAGATTTTGAATGATGAGCACGACTAGGCTACGAAGGAATTCATTGAATGTTTGACTTTCCCTGGGAACAAATCATGCAATGCTTTTTGAAATAAAATTCAGCAAATTGTAAGAAAAAGATACCTCAGTTTTATTGACATTGCTTAACTTTGCTTTCATTTTTCTTTCCAAAAATACTTTTTTTCACAAGCTATCAGTAATGGAGAATTAGCAGTGAGAAAATATTTTGTTCTGTTAGGCTTTTGAACTAAAATTAGTTTAATTTTCACCACAATTGTGAATTGTGTATAAATTCACAGAACATAAACAACTATTTGACTTTCCCCAGACAGAAAACATACAATATGTTTTCTTTTAAAAAAAATGAAAGTTACTGAAAAGGAAAGAAAAAAGCCCGTAGCAGTTCTAGGGATGTTTAAATTTGTTCTTTCCTTTTTATTTTCTTTGCAAAAACACTGAGAGCTTACTTGTTATCTGATCCGCATGAGACGCTGGAAATGACAAAAACAGAAAACAATCATGTTAAAATTTTAAACAAGCTTATTACAGTAATGAGATTATTAAACTGTTAATAAATAATATGTAATCAGTGGAAAAATAAGTAATAAAAAAATGCAGAATCATCTCTTCTATTGGGCATTTTCAGTAAAATTAGGGTATGGTTCACAACAAATGTGCAAAGTGGAGCTAATGCAGCATGAATATGGACATATGTGACTATATGTCGGAAAACCATATAGTCATGTTCTCTTTGCAAACTTGAAAATTATTTTCAAGTGCCTACTTGAAAATAATTATGGCCACAAAGTAATATACAAAACTGAGCACATTTTAAGAACTTCAGCTAAAAGTACGAATTATTAATTTAGCTATGTTTGTATAGCAGAAGTTTATGGCAATTTCTTATTTAATGGAAGAACCACAATTGTGAAATTGTGTTTTTTCAACCTCAGCTGGATAATATGACAAAGTATTTTGCACAATTGTTATAAAATTGCGCAAATGACAAAATCGCAATGACAGAAATACATTTGCTGATTGGGATTAAGCCAATTTTTGCAATAAAACATCTTTGCGCTATGAATAGCGCAAAGACGCTATTCATAGCAGCTGTATCAAAATAGATATATTTTGCCAAACTGCACTTCTTTCTTTTTTTTTTTTTGCATTGTTCTAGTGTAGTGACCAAAAACAATTTCTTTAATGACTACAGCAGAATATCAACTCATTTATATATATATATATATATATCAACTCAAGAACAGCACAGAGGCCCTCATCCTGGCCGCCCAGGAACAGGCCCTAAACACCAGGTGCAAGGAGGCCCCTGAGACAGTCCAGCACATCACAGCAGGGTGCAAGATACTGGCAGGGAAAGCATACATGGAACGACATAACCAAGTGGCAGGCATAGTGTACAGAAACATCTGTGAAGAATATGGACTGGAAACCCCAAGATCAAAGTGGGAAACACCCCCAAAGGTGTTGGAGAACGCCAGAGCTAAGATCCTGTGGGACTTCCAGATCCAGACAGACAGAATGGTAATGGCGAACCAACCAGACATTGTCGTAGTGGACAAACAACAGAGGAAAGCCGTTTGGTAGATGTAGCAATACCAAGTGATTGCAACATCAGGAAAAAGGAGCACGAGATTGGGTGGGAGCATCTCCAAAACCTCCACTCTCCTGAGGAGTTCCTTCCCTGCAGTGGTCACTATCTATCAAAACTGTTCCAAGAAAAGAACAAATGCTGCCCATTGGCCCATACATATTGCTGAAGGAGTTAATTCTGATCCGGATAGAAAGGTGTCAGAATACCCAGTGTCAGTAGCGTATGCGGCTGCACACAGTTGGACTGCCAGTGCTGGTTATAAGGTAAAGGCAGAGTTTGCAAGCAGAAGTGCAGTTATTAAAAATCATCAAATAATCTTTTCCAGCAATGAAATGACCAAATAAAGTGGATAATCTTACCACTATTGGAAGGGGATGCCACAGAAAGGTTAAGGTCCTTTGGTGTTGCTGTATTTTACAATTGTGTTTTTCCTGTAGACTGTGTTGTTAAAGATGATCTTGACGTAGTTGTCTGAAATTTTGTTGATGTAGTTTCCTGAGGTGACGTTAACTTAGTTGTCTGAGAGCTTGTTGACGTAGTTATACTATGTGACTTTAACATAGGTTTTGCTGACATTGACGAAGATTGGCTGGATCTTGTAAATGTAGTTTTCCAACTTGAATTCGACGTAGTCATTGAAGATGGTGTCGATGGAGTTGTCGGAGATGATGTGTTTGACATAGTTTTTGGAGATATTGATGTGGTTTCTGCAGATGCTCCATCTAAAATTACAAACATTTCAATAAGTTCTAAGATATGAACGGAGAATAAATGATAAAGATTCACATAGAAAATGTGTCTAAAAAGTGAAGGTACAATGAACTGCATAAAAGCCAGGATTAACTTTGACAAATGGCTTAGCTGTAACAAACTCTTAACACACTGACAGCCGGAGACGGCATTGTTTTTACTGATGATGAAAGTAGCCCAGACAACATGACCTTGTCAACCACAAACATCACAGTTTGATGTTCTGGGGTTTGAAAGTTTCTTCCTTAGTCCTCTAAAAGTGAAGGCAAAAGAGTGACCTCCTGGGATTCTCTGTGGGTTCAGTGACCACAGTCTTCAAGACGTCATGTGTTTCTAAATCCTTTTTCTCCAGTTAATCTACAGACAAGCCTCTCTGTGAGTCATTCAGGCCTCCTGGTTGTTCTCCAGGTGAAGCTTTACGTTAGCTCCTGCAGTCTTGTGCCAGCCTCCAGCGCTCTCACACTGCCACTGGTCTTCTGGACTTCTTCACCACTACTGTACTGGTTGCCTCCCACAATTGAGCCACTGAAAATTAGAGTCTTAGTCTCCTTTGCTCTATCCAGCCTCATCTGAGGCATGGTTCTAGGAATGACCTCTGAGTTTACTCAGTTTTTTTCTGGGGTATTTTTGGTTTCCGGCCATCCTGCCAAGACCCTTCCCATATTGGTAATTCTCTGATATTATTTAGCCTTCAGCTCCCTCTGCGTTCTGTGAGTATTTTGTCTCCTTCCCTCAGTTTGCCAACTTGCACTTCAACATTCGATTGATTATTGTCACCTGGTTCCTTGGTCACTAAACTGACTGGTCTCTGTAGTTCATTCTTTATTGCTGATTCCTTTTTTTTTTTTTTTACGTCAAGTCTGATCCAAGTCCTGCTCTCCTTTTGTCCTCCTGTCAGTTTGTTTAGGTCCATCTGCATTTTAGTTCTGCTTCAGCCACACAATGCATCACAACCAGTTGATCTATCGTTAGCTAACAAGGCTTTGAAACCATCACCAGGGCTTGGGCAAATAGCTTAAAGGCATCATAACTTCACAGTGCATTCACATCAGCCATGTGTAGTCTGCTTTTCTGGAACTGTAGTTTGAGTCCCTTTAAAGTGTGGTTCATCTGGGGAGGTGTGAATGCTAACGTGAACCCTGGTCCACTGAAAAGTCTTGGTCACGGTTCACTTGAAGTGAAATCTGGACTGCAGATGTGAACAGCAAGTCGTTTGGAGGCCTCTCCAAACGCAGGAAGCTGACTTAAATGCAGTGGAATTTGGGAAAATGAAAACCAAAAGCAACATATCTGGCCAGCATTAGCAGGTGAAATGACTTGTGCTATACTCATAGCTGAAGAGTGTATGTTTGGCCTCATTTCAAAGACAAAGGAGAAATCCTGCAACCGCTAAAATCTTACGCCACTCCGTTTTTGATTGCATTTTGCGAAGACAGAAGTCTTCTTCAGAGGTGTTCATGTAGTTTCCTTCAGTGATTCTTGGTACAGCGTCACCGCAGGCGAGGAGAGGAAGTTTTTCAAAGGATTTGGTTTGTTTGACATTGTGCAGTGTGAAAGAGATTCACAGCAGCTGAAAATGTAACATGCTGTAATTTGGACCACTTGATGGGGACTAAGCACCATAAATGTAGGTAAACTTGAAAAAATAAGTTAGTTCTCGGATATGTTTATTTTAAATGAGTCAACATCTCCACTGAGTGACCAATAAAGGCCCAAGAAACAAAATGTACAGTAAAACATGAAAACCAGGATTAGGAAAAGAAAATCACATTATAGTTCTGATAAACTCTTGACAGCAAGTTTTACAACACTGACATGAATAATTGTATGATAGTATTAGTATTATTTTACACCTAATGACTGTAAAGAATTTCAAGAACAATAATTAGGTAGAGGTTTGAATTTATTGTGGACTTTTTGTTTTTCAAACCACGCATATTCAGAAATAATATATACAAGGAAACGTAAGATGCTTTTCTCTGATTCACCCAGGCCTTTGGAAAATGGCTTGAATAATCCTGGAAAGTGAAGGATGAATTTGGGATGATTAAGTTCAGCTTCATTTACTGCTAAATTTCACAGACGTTTGATGCAGTCTTCAGTGGAAAAATGAGACAACTTGATTACGTCAAAGGATGTAAAATAGTGGCCAGAAATTGAAGACCCAGAGGAGGAGCTCTTTTCAACAAGCAGTTAGCAGTGCCTCTGGCCACGTCTGTTTTATTGTCTTCCGTCCAGAAAACATGTTCAATTAATGGACTGCTGCAGAGCTGGATGCCCTTATTAAAGTGAGCAGGTGGTTTTTTGCTCCCCCTAAGATTATTCAACCCCATAAAATGTCCTGGTGCTTCCAAACTGCCTCCATTTACCGAAGAAAGAAATAACAGAAATCAATATCTTGGGTCTGATTCGTGCTTTGAGCCAATCCTGCCTCTCACCTCCTTTGGCTTGGCAGCTTGTCCAGCTGTGGCTCTTTTCAAAACCCTTGTCCATAGCTGGATTCCGAATGAACAGTAGAAAAATGACAACTCAGTGGAAACAGGGAACAACTGAGTTTTTGAGCTTCAAGAAAAAAATGTCAATACTTGACTTCCTACTTTATTTTTTAATTCTATAAACATTTGCAGAAATGTAAGAAAAGGGCAGAAAAAAAGCTATTATTTTTCATGTGTTTTTTGTGTGATCGAGCTCGTAGAGTTTTCAGAGACTCGAAACAAAAGTTGGGTTTTCACAATGTCCACATTTCCTTTGGTGAGCAAGTTCAAATTTATTTTAAAAAAACATTTTAGGGGCTCTGATAGCGTTAGCAAGCTGACTTTGATGTAAATTTTTAATAGAGATTTTCCCTGGCACAACATTTTGTCAGAAGAGACGCAGAGTAATTCCTAATAACCAACAACGATAATATTGTTATGCCTGATCAGTGTTTCAGTGACTATTGAAGGGTCAGGTGCATATTTAATGCTTGAAAAAAACCCCAGGAAGAAACATCAACAAATGAGGAAAAATTAAACAGTCAGTTTACAAATAGAGGACAAATGAATTAATGTAATGAAAAATTTGTGAAACGTTTTTTTTTTGCATGAAATGATCCACAGTTAAATATTAAATACAATTTCTAAAATCAATGAGATACAGTTTGTAAAGTAGTCATGAGTGAAGAGCTTCATTGCTGACTTTCTAACATTGCAATTACAATTTAGATTTAGTTGTGTTCAAATGAATGAATGAATTTATTTACTGCACCAGGTTAGAGCCTAACATGCTCATTTGCACATGCAGTTCCCCAAAACCCACAGTGATATTAAAATCCAAGCACAGAAGGTAAAACTCTGAACTACATCAAGATGCGAAAACTTACTATTATCTGAAGTGTTCCACAGACGCCTTATAGTGTCGATCCCAGAAACTGAAACGTACAGCATGGTTAGTTTATTTAGAAAAACTCCAGAAAAAAAAAAAAAAAAAAAAAAAAAAAAAAAATATATATATATATATATATATATATATATATATATATATATATATATATATATATATATATATATATATATATATACACAATTGTCAAAGAACAGAAGACAACACAAAACTCAGGAGGAAAAACAATAAAAGCTTAAGTGTGCACTGTGGTGCACTAATACCATAGTGAAGTACTCACTGAAGTGCTGACAATCTTCAAAGACTGAAAATGAGAAATATGAATATTAACGATATTACAATTAAAAATCATTGATTTACACTGAAAGCAATGATTGTCTTTAAATATTTGCTGTAATGCACTGTGACCAACAGGCTCCATTCTGCAGGTACCCCACTTATATACAAAGTCACATTTAAATCATTGTTGCATATACCTTCTTAGCAAACATATGTTTGAAAGCAGGGGCCGACTGTCAGCAGCTTTCTCATGACAATGAAATAGTCAGGGACAAATGCTGCCCAACTACCACGAGGCAAAACCTTCCCATTTTGTGTTAGAACCACAAACATCAGTGTGTTTTATTGGAGTTTTATGAGCCGAACTGGCACAAGGTTCTTCATGAGAAATAAATGAATAAAAACCACAAACAAAGGAAATGCTGTAATGCGGTGCTAAACATAGGACCCAAATACAGAGATGGAGACGGAAATTGAATTTTGATTGAATTGTGATTCAAAGAAAAAAAAAAAAGGTTGAATATAGAAACTTACAAGACAAAAAAAAACCCACAAAAAACACAGGAGCAAGGGCAAAAGACAAATAATGACAAATAATGAATCCAAAGAACATCCAAAGGAAACTCACAAACAACATGAGGTGGAACCAGGAAGTGACGGACGTAGACAAAAGGAACCGGCGAGGAGTGACCGAGAATGAAGTGCTCGAATGCAAGTTCTTGCAAGGTGTGAGTGGAAAGCAGAAGACAGACTGAGAGGGACTCAGCGAGTGGCACAGGGGGCGAGGGAGAGTACACAGGGGAACAGGAAATGAATCTAACACTAAAGACACATCATAAAACTAGAGGAGCAAAGAATAACTAGAACCAAGAAACAAGCACAACTAGAAACATAGAGAAGAACTGAACTGAAGGAAAATGGGGAAAAGACAGATCTAACCAAGATAAAAACACAAAATAATCATGAAGGCAGAATTCAATCAAACTACCAAAACAACTCAACAACCTGGGATCCTAACACTTTCAAATGTTTTCTTGCTCTGTATTTACTTCCATCCATCTTCAGTTCTTCATCTGAAATCAGTTCTGATCGGTGCACCTTTTTCCACATAAACACTGTTTCTCCTATATGACACAATAACTGTTTTTTTTCCTATCAGAGCTGCTGAAATCTCCACAGACGATCCAATTAAAGCATCGAATCAATTAATTTGTTCTGAATAGATAACAACAGGTTGGAAGATCTACTTCTTCTCTCCCCCATTCACAGATTCTCTTGGAGACCTGCAACGAAACTTTGGCTTCACTATTCGAAAACATAAATTTCACTTCTATTCTGGAGAGATAGATGTAAAATGAAAAGAACAGAGGTGCGAATAATTCTGGGCTTAATGGTTATGGTCTGGACTGGCCTTCGCATGAACACTGTGTTAATGCCACAACCTGATCTCTCTCTGTTTTGATCTCACGCTGCGTCTCAAATGATAAGGCACAATTGTTAGGTGTCATTATTTCTTACCGCTTTTTATGGCTTCGTCACTGTACTTTACGTTGCGTACTTTGGCAAACAAACACCTGAAGTGGAGCATATATATTTTGTCACTCTCTGCAGTTATGTTTGGACACTTTTTCTTCAAGTCAGAATCCTCCTAGAAACAAAGAAAAACACGATCAAAAAACATTAACAGGCGGAGAAACAAGACAAGAACAAGACACTGCCATTGAAATTCTGAGTTGTGAAAGAAATGCACTCACCTCGTCAAAGCATTCTGATTTGACATTTTTAAAAAAGTCTCGGTCTTTGTTTATCCATACAGTGCATTTTAGGGTTTCCTGCAAAAAAGAACAGATCAATGCACAGTCTTTCAAACGTAGGTAAATGTGTGACTCATTGAGACGTACAGAATGGCTCAAGATTCTCAAAGGTAATTATTGAATCATTAAGTTACCTCAAGGCTGCTGCAATTTGCTAGCGAAATAAGCTCTGTCATGCTTTTGGCGATCTAAAATAAGCACAAAACAAGACAGAGACAATATTTACAGTTAATTCTTTCAAATACATTATGAGCAGAAATATCAAGGTAAAGAAAACTCAGTAGCAGCTGATAGGGGGCCCCAGACATCCGGGGGCCCTTATAAATGGTTGAATTGTAAAACAGACCATAGATCTAAACCTGAAGCATTTATTTATTGAGAATGGCAGTGCTATTAAATATTATTTAATGCATTCAGCAGAAAATAAACGAAAAAGAAAACAACAAATAAATGATGCATTTAGGATTTAATTAGGAAGTATACTTTGTAAAAGTGCAAAGAATCATCTTGATAGTTTGACTGCTGTGTTACCATGGTTACAGTATGGCGTAGTCCTCACTAAATCTACATTTAAACACTGTTAGTGATGCTGATGCTCTTAGTAGGAGGGGCATGAGGAGCCTAAATCATGATTCTGTCTAGGGCCCCAATTTACCTTGGGCCGGCCCTGCGTGAAGAGCCGCTGAGCATCTCTGCTGTAATCTACCTGGAAGCTCCCAGGGGCCCCTTATGCCAGCCCACTGATGCTTTTGGGACATTTTGGTTCATTTAATTGTAGCACGATTGACTTTTTTAATTATTGCTACAGTATTTTTGCTGCTGTTTATGGGATATTTTGTGAACTCCAGATGCTATGGGCTCAATCTTTCTTCTGTTCACAGCCATGAACCTCCAGCCCAGATCCCACCAGCGGTGCGAACCGCCTGGTGGTAACATCAAGGTGAAACAGAGAGCCAACAGAGCGCAAACTGTGAGCAGGCGGTACTGAGCTCTGAGCTGCTTCGCAGTGACAGTCGGTACCGTTTCTTTATATCATGATATCTGGTTCTGACCCGCAGTGCTGGGACCGACTCAGGCTGGATTTAGTCCAGCACTCAGGCAGCCTGAGAAAGTTAAAGTCAGATGTTTTCTCTGCAGCTGAAGCATTTCTGTGTTTAGGGCCAAGGAGGCTTTTCCTGTTGTGACATGGACAATCACAAAACAGAGACAGTGTCCTCCAACATCAGACCGACGTTTTTAGCCACTCATTTATTTTACTGAATTATTATAGATGGCTAAATGTTACTGTTGAGAGGCACAAGCAGGCCTTCTGACACACAACTTTCAAAACAACAACAACAAAAATAATAATAATAAAAAAAAATTCATAAAGGTCACTCGGGGCATCAGGAAGAAAAGGGGCGGGGTTCCCCCCTGCACATGTCTGACAAGAAAGTTAAACGTTAATGAAATTTAATAAGATGCAAACACTTGCATCAATTTGACTGACGGGCTACACATTCAACTTTAACTTCTGGACGATTACTTTTTTGTATGTGATGAACTGGAAGCCAAAACATCTGAAATAAACAATAGAAAGCAAAACAAAACCTAAAATTGACCAAAATGCTTGTGAACACCTAATGCTACTGATCCAGACTGAGTATAAATGAACACTCGTCTGTTGTGAGTTTTACACACATCACAGATAGAAAGGATTTTAGCTATATCGTACAATTGACGGCATTTGCCTAAAAAATTTTAAAAAAAAACAACAACAACAAAAAAACAGAAAAGGACATACCTCGTCATCTATGACGAATTGATCATTACAGTCCTGCTCTGAAAGGATGATGAATCTTAAAAAAACCTACAAAAATGTAAAACAAAGTTATTATTTTCACGATAAAATCTTTGTTTCTTGGTTCTATAACAACGGTGATATAATGAATAGCTGTATTTATGTTCACGTGTGTTAAACTGAGGTAGAAGCACAAACTGGGCACTTGACAGTCAAAGATGGTTCCTATTTTTCAAGACGGCCGTCAAAACAACCTCAGAGTTGAATTTTTCTATTTGTATTAAGAATTTTGGTCTAGTTTATCGCTTAGTGACATTTTGTTTTTGAGTTCTTTTTGCGTCTACATCTTCTTAGTAGTCATTCCCCGTCCACTTTATTAGGTACAGGTGTCCAATAATTTGCCAACACAAATAGTGAATAAGCCAAAGGCCATTTGGGTTGACTTAGTAGACAGCATCACCTTCTACCAAACTGGCTTTAGCTCGCTTTATTACGTATCAGTAAAAATGACGATGATCGAATAAAACGTACAAATAAAAAAAAACAAAAATTATGAACATTATAAAAACATTGCACATGTTGAGGCCTTTTATCATTTTTGGATGCTTACCAGCTTGGAGCAGCCTTGGTTTCAGAACATTGACTGATTTCAAAATACCAACATGCATACGACGAAGTTAAAGGAAAAGGAGGAAAGTAAAACAATCTGACATCATCTTTGAAGACAGTCAGGGTTGTGTGACTAAACAAGCAATACTTACAAAGAACAAGAAAGCAGCGCAGGAACCCATTCTGTTCCGGTGACAATCCAGGTTTTACTCTGCGATGAGAGAAGACACAAATGGAGAAAACTTTAGGAACCGATGCCAAGGTGGAACCAAGTAATAGGGTGAAATAAGAAGTTCCTTTTTCTGTATTCGATGTCACGAACAACATCTGTGCTCAGCAGTGCTTCCTCAAATCTTTAATAAAAACCAGGAATATCTGCACACACTTGAGACCCCAAAAAAAGATAGTCAGTTTGTGACTGAGCTTCGCCAGAAGTTGATGAAAAACAAAAGCAATGACAAAAAAAGCTTCATCTGGATGCCGGACACACATATGACAGGAAGCTGTTTGGAGGTTTTCTGATGATCTGATCAACCTTCGACTGAATTCTCCTTTTTCTGTGACAAGCCAACATGCACACATAAAACACATATGAAAGTGCTTTCAAAACTATTGCTGCTCATTTTTATTTGTGTGTTATTTATTTATTTATTTTTTATGAAGGTGTAAAAAGGCCTTTCCAGATAGAAAAAAAAGGAAAAGCATATTTCTGGCAGCCCTTCTGCAAAGAAACATGCAGAAGGGCAATCCTTCTGTTTAGCATAGAAGGTTTTGAAATAGAAAACAGTTTCATTTCCAGTCAACCATAACTGTCAGGGTCTTGGATTGTCTTTGCTTCAGTTTGGCTTTTTGTTCCAGCATCCTTTCGTCCTGCAGTGGCATCTCCATTACAGCTCTGCACAGAGTTTTGTCAATATTCTTTTAATGTACAACTCCCCCCCCCCAGAAAATCGCAATTTCAAAATTGCTTGTTTGTTTTAAATGACACGGACAATCAAAATCATGAGTAAACAAATGCTGCGCCTTCATCCTCCAACTACTTCCTGTTTTGTTCGTAGTCTGTGCCAGTGGTAACGACCGGTTGTTGGTCACTAGACTCCTGTGATGTGGAGAAAAAGTTTCCACTGCAGTTTTGCAAAATAAACCAATTTCATCATGACCAAAAATAAAATGAAATACAAAAGAAAATTAATAATAATTTAAAAAATAAAAATAAATAACGCCTCATACCAGCAGCAAATTTTTGATAAAGAAAACAAAACCTTTTTTTTTTTCAAAATTTCCACTCAGCGAATTTATTTTCAAAGGGTCAAATTGAGCAACTCTATGGTGCAAAACGCAACTAATATTTACACACCTTTTCTCCTCCACTGCCTTTGCAGCCGATTCCTGTGTTTTTGTGCACTCGCTCCACTCAACAACCTGCATCTGTTGAATGTGGGTCCACTCATCACTCCACCAATAACCAACTATGACAATAACTGTCTCAATCTGAACATCTCATGGTTCGTGTCTCCCTGAGATTAAAGGAGGTTTTCTTTTGGACAAAAAAAAAAGTCAACAGTGCAACAAAGCAGAACCCAGAGTTGAGAGATAAAGCCTGGGTTGGCATGGCGCCGTCGACTCATCAACACCAAACCAGACTGAAGTAATCCCACGGTTTTTTTTCAAGAGACCTTGAGATCAATTGGTAGCTAAACTGCGTACTCCATAAATCACACCGAACACAGTTGTTTTGATGGGGGATAATAACTTCACAGAACCATGTATTAAAGCTCCCAAACATTCCTTTTACTGTTTTGAAGTGGGAATGAAGCTCGAGGGCACATGCTATTGAGCTGCATCAAGTATGCTGCCGTTGTTGCGATTCCCACGGCATCTGGTAGCGCCTCAGCAATTCAACGGTCAAAGTTGACGACATAATTCTGTAACTATCGCGGCTCAAGTGTGAACCAGAACCAAAGTTGAGCTGAGTTTCTCCACCTGCGACTGCAGTGCCTTGATGGCTTCCAGTCATCTAAGCATGTTGATTCTCACAAATACGCATCAAAACAAATGTTCATGCAAAACAGCCCGAGGCGAGTCATGCTTACGCCATTCAAGATTCGCAGAGCCTACAGAAAGTATTCAAACCCCTTGACAGTTTTCTGTTGCAGCCATTTGATCAAATCAAAAAAGTTAATATTATTTATCATAAATGTACACTCAGCATCCCATCTTGATAGAAAAACAGAAATGTAGAAACATTTGCACATTTAGTAAAAACGAAAAACTGAAATATCCCCCAGTCACAAGGATTCAGACCCTTTGCTCAGTGTTGAGTAGAAGCACCTTTAGAGCTGGTACAGCCACAAGTCTCGTTGGGAATGATGCAATAAGTTTTCCACATGGAGGCCACTGTGCTCTTCGCATCCTGGAGTTCTGCAGAAGTTCTTGTGGACCCTTGTCCAGATCTTTTGCCACAGTTCTGTCTCTGAGTCACTGGGCAGTTCCTTCCACCTCATGATTTACTCTGATATGAACTGTGACGTCTACAGATGGGTGTGTGTGTTTCCTAATCAAGTCCAATCAGATTAATTAAAATAGAATCATCTCAGTGAGGATCAGAAGAAATGGACAGCATGTGAGTTAAATATGAGTTTCACAGCAAAGAGTCTGAATACTTATGACCGTGTAACATTGTGGTTTTTCCTTTTTCCAGTAAATGTGCAAAGATTTCTACATTTCTGTTTTTTCGGGATGCTGACTGTACATCCATGAAAAATAACAGGAACCTTTTTATTGACTTTAGCAAACAGCTGCAATGAAAGCAAGAGTGAACGATGTAATATCTGAATACTTTCCGCATTGTAACTATCCTGCTAGCGCTTTCTAGACGACCGACTGATTCGAAAGGCCACAGAGAGAAGTGAGCAACTTCACCACAACGAGTCTTTCCACAAAGCCCTTGTTAGCGTAGCCACCGACGACGGCGGATAAGCAGATTTCCTGTAACTATTAGATCGCTTCTCCGCACATCTAGAAGCATTGATTGTCGTTGCTAAGACCCGCCTCCTGGCTCTAATTGGTTGCTTTAGTCTGAGCGGTGGAGTGATAGTTTTTAACAAATTGGCAAAAAAGAAAAAGACATACTACTGAAGCTTTGACTGAAATGTAACTGGCTTCCACTGTACTGAGAAAACTGTGGAATCCAGTTTGAATAAGTGATGCTCTGGATGTCTCCCTTCTTTTTGTTGGCCCATTGAGAGATGGAGAAAATATGACAAATGGTCATTGAACAGAAGAGCATCGTATGTGAGGTCAGATCCGAAACAAAATCAAACAGGTCTGCGTGTAACACACAGCGCCTTCCTTCCCCATCATCCCCATCAAACATCAGTTGGGAGTTCTGTAAGTGGAGAACTGAGGAGATGACATATTCATCTCATTATTTTTAATCATCAATGTTTAATGACGCCCTGCATGGAGCAGCTGAGCCCCCTCTTTAGTCCAGTTCTGCATAATGACGTCAATTTGACATTCTGCTAAAAGCTCCGGGAGGTCCAACGGAAATTCAATCCAGTAAACAAACAAAGAAAAAGTGTTTATGAGACTATTTTCAGGAGTTTGCCTCAAACTCTGGGGTCGCATCAAGGGAACATTTTCTGTATTTTCTTTTAAATGACAAAAAAAAAAGAAAAAAAGATTTTGACAGTAATATTTTGCACTCATTAAGTCTGGACACTGGCAGGCATTTTGACTTTACACACAGACTTCATTGCAGAGGCAGCTAAAATAAGTCAATACAAATTCCTTTATGGATATCATTTATTAGAAACTGAACTAAATTCGTCTTGCTGACTCGGAGCTGACAGCTTGTTGAAAGGTTATGGTTATGTTATGGTTATGTGATTCAGAAGTGCATTCCAAACCTTTGGTTGAAATGACACATTTAATTTCTGTCAAACATACAGAACAGGGAAATCTAAAGAGGATGCAGTGTTGTGTTAATTGACTCATAGTCTAAACAGAGGAGCTGCCAGATTATCTTGAGGAAATAAATAACAGTGCAGAAGTGAATAAGACCATAACAAGCGCAATGCTGCATAAACAATGCGGTCAGTCAAAACGAAGGACAAGAGAGAAAGTTGAGCATGACCTCTGCTCAAAACTGCTAAAAATGTTCAATCGGGTTTGTCAATAGAGCTCATTTCAGGAGAGTTCAAAGTGCTTCACAATGTGAAAACATAGAAAAACAATAATCAACTCATACAGTCAACAGCTGTGAAAACCAATAACAGACACATTGTGTCGTTAAAGTCATCAGAGCGTGTCATCCATTTTTGGCAATCTTCCAATCAGCACTTCAGTTTTCTAAATTGTTGCTTTGCTAAGATGGAACAAAAAACATCACTAACAAGGAGCTACGTGAATTCCTCACACTGCAAACGAGCAGGTCAAAGGTCGAACAATGACAACAAACCCCCCCAGAACTCTGGAAAATCTGGAAAAACGTTCCCTGATGTTCAACAGACTTTGGTAGTTAATGTGATTTTAGTTTCTCTAGAAAAAGAGGCGGCGACGTTGTGGCTGCTGTGTGCAAACCTCCATGCAAAGTACGCAACTCTGAGTTAATTCACTTTCAATGGAACAAAGACCATCAAACATCACAAAATTACTGTGGCAGAATCATTATGACTTTGAGTGAGCGGTGCGGTGCGATACAGCACCAACATGTGTTTCACTGTATAGAGAGTCAATTTGTTCAATTAGTTCAGTTTTGAACCGCAGAGGGGAAAGTTGATACATATATATATATATACCTGGGTGGTATATTGGCCCCAAAAATGGGGCCAACATCAGTCACCTTCTCTACATGGATGACATCAAGCTGTATGCCAAGAGTGAGCGAGACATCGACTCACTGATCCACACCACCAGGATCTACAGCACTGACATTGGGATGTCATTCGGACTAGAGAAGTGTGGGCGGCTGATCACAAAGAGGGGGAAGGTGATCCGCACAGAAGGAGTCTCACTCCCACAAGGAACAATAGCAGACATAGAGGACAGTTACAAGTACCTAGGTATACCACAAGCAAATGGCAACCTCGATGAGGCCACAAGGAAAGGAGCCACAGCTAAATACCTCCAACGAATAAGGCAAGTCCTGAGAAGCCAGCTCAATGGCAAGAACAAAATCCGTGCGATAAACAGCTATGCCCTGCCAGT